GAGAGACAGAGAGACAGAAAGCGAGAAATCACCCCCCAGGGGGGATGGCCACATCGCAGCAATCCCTCCTCCATTCTCCTCTCCGGGATCTTGGGCACACACACACACACACACACACACGCGCCCGGCGTGAGTTTAAGCCACCGGGTCCTGGACTCGGACCACGGTCAACTACGTGGGAGTCCAGCGACATAGCCATTACGCTAACTGCTGGCCCCACTTATTGAACTTTTGTTTTTTTAAAGAGAATTTTGCCTTAGGGCACGTGTGTTCACCAGTGAGAGACAGACAAGAGACTGAGAGGGCGAAATCACTCCTCCCACGGCAATCCTCCATTCTCTTGGGATTTTGGGAACGCTTGCACTGTGCTCGGTGTAAGCTTGAGGCCACAAGGTCCAGGATGAACCACGTGGGAGTCCAGCGCCCTAACCGTTAGGCCACCTGCTGGCCCAGCAATCTGTATTACTAAGAAACGGCCCAGATGGCAGCACCCGTTTGGGAAGCACTGGGAGCCTACACTGTCCATCCAGTCAGGGGCCTGCTTGTGGCCGCTGCGGAAAGGAGCCAGCACACCACGACCCTGCCTCTCTCAGAACATCGCAGAACAAAGAATCTCCATCCCTGAGTGGGTTGTAGTAAACAACAAATCTGCCAGTTAGAACGGTCTGCCATTCGGCAGTGCGGAGTCCTGCTCTCCCATACTGACCAGAGCTGTAAGCAGCAGGCCAGAGTTCCAGCCTCAAGGGTCAGGACAGAGACAAAGTGCAACCCGCAGAGCTTGCCCAGGATCAAAAGCACTGGGGTCCGAGGACGAATCAGTACCATATTTTAACCCGACAGTGGCTTAAAATAACCTTGCGTCCTAGCCAGACTTCTGCCATGCGATGACCGCTGCTACGCGGAAATAATTTCACATTTTCAGTAAGTGAATTACAAGAGCACTTTTCGCCAGTGCGCCAACCCATCCCGGTCCAATCCGACAGGAGAGGGATGGAGCCGGCGAGCGCGGTCGATTGACAGACATTCCTATCAACCTACGACGGAAGGAGAGCGCGCGGCAGGCCAGTGTCCAATCAGTACTCAGCGGCTACAGGCGGGGGCGGGGCTTGTGGACACG